TGAGGGAGGAAATATGTTGGAAGCAAAAATCAAGAGAGGTGGATCAAAGAATGTGATGGAAATACAGGATTTTTCCATGCCATTGCAAATGGAAGGAGAAGGAAGAGTATGATTACTTCTTTATTGGTGGGGGAAAATGAGGTTACAGACCAAAATGAGATTGCTAAAGCATTCTCAGAGCATTTCAGGTTTATTTATAAAAGACCCCTACTCGAGAGGTGGAGGGCTGAAGGCATTGATTGGGAGACATTGGGGGAGACTCAAGTCCAAGTTTTGGAAAAAAGGTTTGAAGAGAGAGAGAGAGATTAAGGAAGTGGTTTTTTCTATGAATAGATCAAAAGCACCAGGGCCCGATGGTTTCACAATGGCCTTCTATCAAGACTGTTGGGACATAATCAAAGGAGATCTACTTAGAGTGATCAATGAATTCAGGGGATTTTAGACCAATAAGTCTAGTCACCAATATTTACAAGGTGATAGCAAAGATGTTGTCTCTGAGGATTAAGAAGGTGATCTCCCACTTGTTTCTCAGTCTCAAGGGGCCATTGTACAGGATAGACAGATTATTGATAAAATCTTAATTGCCAATGAATGTCGGGAGGCTCAAAAGAGACTAAAGAGGAAAGGAGTGGCTATCAAATTGGATTTGGAAAAAGCTTATGATTTGGTGGATTGGAACTTCTTGATTGATATTATGAGGAGGTGTGGCTTTGGAAATTTGTGGTGTAAATGAATTAAGGGTTGTTTACAAACTAGTCACTACTCAGTCATAGTTAATGGGATAGTGTATAATTTCTTTGAGGGATTCTGTGGACTTAGGCAGGGCGACCCCCTTTCTTCCTTTCCATTTACTTTGATTGCTAAAGCCCTAAGTAAATTGATTTCAAGAGCAAATTGCTTGCAGCTATTCAGGGGTTGGTCAGTGGGGAGGGATAATGTTTTGGTCACTTGTAGTTTGCAGATTATATTCTAATTTTTTGTGATGAAGATTGTAGGGAGGGAGTGGAAAATTTGAGGCTGGTTGTGAAGATCTTTGAGAGGATGTCTAACTTGAGGATCAATTGGTCAAAGAGCTTATTGGTTGGAACCAACATCGAAGAGGATGAATTAAAGTTTTTGGCAGATTCCCTAGGTTGTGAAAAAGGAGAGTGGCCGTTGAATTACTTAGGCTTACCCCTAGGAGATAACCCTAGATCTGCTTGTTTTTGGTCTCCAGTGGTGGAAAGAAACGAGAAACGCTTGGTGGGGTGGAAAAGGAACTATATCTCATTGGGGGGGGGGAATAACTCTAATCAAGTCTACCCTAGCAAATCTTCTAGTGTACTACATGTTGGTGTTCAAGATGCCACAAGGGATAGTGAGGAAAATTGAAAAAATCATGAGGGATTTTCTTTGGGAGCTAGGGAAAAAATGAAAAATTATTTGGTTAGATGGGAAAAGGTGGTGAAATTGAAGGAAGAAGGGGGTTTGGGAATTGGTAATGTTAGGCTGAAGAATCAGGCCTTGCTTAGCAAATGGCTTTGGAGGTTTCCAAACGAAAATGAGAAATTATGGCACAAAGTTGTTGCAAGCATTCATGGCATGTCGAGCAACAAATGGGATGCTAGATGTCTCCATAGGGCTAGCTTGGCTTTTCTCTGGAAGGCCATCCATGATTTTCTCCCTACTTTCCTAAATCATATCAGGTATGACTTGTCTTTTGGTAGTAAAATCAGATTTTGGGAGGATGTGTGGATTAGAGATACTCCTCTAGGTGAGAAATTTCCTTCTCTTTTTGATCTTTCCAGGTTCAAGGGTAGGCCCATTTCAGATTTCCTAAGTCAACCTTCTCACCTTCTAGGGTTGAATTGGAACTTTTGCTTTAATAGGAGCCTTAGAGAGTTTGAACTTCTTGCAGTGTCCGAGCTGTTAGGCTTTCTGAATTCAGTGTTCTTGGGAGAAGGTGGGTCAGATTCTAGGATTTGGGGTCTTAATTCTGACGGGTCGTTTTCTTGTAAATCCTTTCTACACTCGTTGGTTGCCACCTCCTCTTATCCTTTCCCAGTTAAAGAAATTTGGTGCCCTCCCATTCCCCCTAAAATCAGTGATTTTTGTTGGGAAGTATTTCATGGTTGTATTAATACCTTTGATGTACTTCAAAGAAAAAGACCAAATTGGTGTTTGTCCCCTAACTGGTGTGTCCTGTGTAAGTTTAATGGTGAGACTGCTTTCCATCTTCTAATATCTTGTCCTTTTGTCAGTTTTATTTGGAATTGGTTTACTTCCCTTTTTGGGTGCAGGTGATCTTCTCTTGACAGATTGGAGGGTTTATTCAGCCCTGTTAGTATTAGTGGCACGAAAAGGAGGGGTAGGATCCTATGGAGATGTACTAGAGCAGCACTACTTTGGACTGCTTGGGAGGAAAGAAATGCAAGAATATTTGAAGGAGAGGAAAGATGTAAGGATGCATTAGTCGAAACAATAACATTGAGGGTGACACATTGGGCAAAAAGCTTGAAGTTGTTTTTAGTTTTTAAGGTCGAAGACTTTTTTAGGGTTTGGGGACTTATTGCTGCTTCATCTACAAGACAGCAGTTTTCTGAGGCATGGTCTCCTCCAACAGGTGGCTGGAAGAAGCTGAACTTTGATGGGAGTTGTGTGGGTAATCCAGGCTCCTCAGGCATTGTGGGGCCATTAGAGATGAAGATGGAAACATCATTGCTCTGTACTCCGGTCCTGTGGAGCAGGGTGATGTGGCAAGGGCAGAGTTTCTAGCTGCAGCTTATGGGGTTGAGAAGGCTAAAGAGTTGGGTATTAATAGACTGATCATCGAGGGAGACTCAAAAACTGTGATAAAATGGTTGCAGAAAGGGGAAGGGGTGACATGGCAGCTGAAGAATGAATTCTGAAGATTTAAATGGTTGTCAAGGGACATGTCAATCCAGGTGGGATGGGTGAGGAGATCTACCAACAGTTTGGTAGATAGCTTAGCAAAGCAAGGGGTTCAAAGAACACATGTTTTGGGCACATTTGTAATTCTGTTTTGGGTCAGCTTACTAAAGCAGGTTTCTTTCACAATTTCTTGTTGTATCCATAATTTTTCTAATTAATGAAACCTACTCAGAATTCTTGATAAAAAAAAAAGTGGCTGTGGAGGTTCCCCATTGAAATCAGTGCTCTTTGGACTGGTCTCATCATCAGCAAATATAGGAAGGACGCAAAAGGTTGGGATAGTAAGATCCACTTGAACAGGGTGAAAGCAACCAACACTTGGAAAGGTATCACTTCTACCTATAATGTTTTCATTCCTTTTATAAGATACAAAGTGGACAATGGAGATAGAATCAAAATTTGGACAGATCTATAGTGGGGAGAACAGACTTTGACTGCCTCCTTTACTAGAATCTTTAGCCTTTCTTAAATCCAAGAAGCTACAATTTCCCCATGCCTTCTCACTTACCCCCTTGAATCAAATTGGAACCTTAACCTTAGAAGACCTTAGAGAGAAGTGTAAATTGGTGAAATTACTGATCTTTTGCATAACCTTATAGAGGTTTATATTTCCTCCTCATCCCATGACCATCCAATCTGGAAACTCAACCCTGCCAGTAAGTTCTCTGCTGAATACTTTTTCAGGGCTCTCATATTGGAGGATCTCACTCAAGCTTCCCTTATAAAAAGATTTGGTGCTCTCATATCCCACCTAGAGTCTCCTTGTTTGTGTGGGAAGCTTGTTTAAAGAGAATAAATACTTATGACCTCATTTATAAATAATACAGAGGAAGATTATACATCTCCCCCCATGCTAGTATGTTATGCCATTGTGATGATGAATTTGCTGGCCATCTTCTCCTGCATTGCCTAGTAACAAGGAAAATTTGGTATCGTTTTCTAAACCTTGTTAGTTATATTCTGGAGTTTCTGTGGCAGTGACATGGTAAAAGCCTTGGAAGGAGGGTAAAATTTATTGGATTGCCGTAGCACAAGCTGTACTTCGGGGTGTTTGGGGAGAAAGAAATAAACACATCTTTGAAGATAAGTCCAGATCATTTGAAGACCTCATTTCCCACATTGCTAATCTTTGTAACATGTGGGCTGTCAATTCTGAGGAGTTTAGACACATTTCTGCAGTGATTTGTATAGGAATGTGAGATATTTTACATTCTTCCCCTAGGACTTTACCTCTTAGGGATCCTATTTCTAGAGAGGAGGGGGTGATGAGATGCATTAGGAAACCCAGGTGCAGCAGGAATTGGAGGTTCTCTAAGGGAGAGGAATGGGAGCATTTGTTGGACTTTTAGTGGCCCGATTGGGAATGCTGACTCCTCTAAGGCTGAAGTTTTGGCTGCCCTTATCGGATTCCTAATTGCTAGAGATTTGGGCATCTCCACTCTATCCATAGAAGGTGATTCAGCAAACACAATTACTTAGTTAGGAGAGGCTGAGGGTGGTCCTTGGTGGCTGGCTCACTACTTAGCCAAGGCAAGAGATATACTGACTACAATGAATACAAACCTTAATTGGATCCCTAGAGATTTAAATTCTTTGGAAGATGAGTTAGGAAAATCTGGTGTGCTTAGGCAATCTCTATATAATTTTTGAGTTAGGAAAATCCCTTGTTTGCCTTGCTCTTGTTGTAAATCATCTCATGTACCAGTTTTCTCTTTAAAGAAATTCTGTTATCTCCTTTCAAAAAAGAAAAAAAAAACACGCTTTATATTTCACATGTATCTTAGAATTGTTCTCTTGTGTGTTGGTCTTCAAGCATCCAGTGTGGAAGCATCATCTATTATCCATCTAGAAAAATCAATGAATTTGAGAGGTAGGGTCATTATTGTTTTTGTTTAATTTGAATCCTGACAACTGTGAGTGTCATAGTCTGGTGCAGTAAAAGTTGGTTATTTAGTTCTCTGGAAAATTTATAATACATGAAATTGAAAGATTGTTATTATAAAAAATGAACTTGGAAAAGGAAACCTAAACTCAGTTTATCATTTACCTTTATATTTCTACTATTATAGGTTGTTGCATACTCAGATGGCCAAGTTAAAATTTATGAACTATTGGACCCGTTGGAACTTAAGAAATGGCAGCTTCAGGTAAACCACTGTAACCGATTCCATCTTTCAATTTTCTAGGTTCTATTTCAGTATCTTGTAAGTTGCTACTGCTGATATGTTTTATGTCAGATGCAAAAAAATCTTCTGTGTTTCTTTTAATATATACTAGCTTCATAAGATATGATTTTAACTTATATTGTTGCATGGACAATGGTCTATGCATTTCTTATCCAATCTTCCTTTCCTTCTAATGGTTGTTTTCTTCCAAAGAGCCATCATGGCATGATTTTTTGTTATTGCAATAATCACCTATTGGAAGCTTTAATCTGTTGTTGGCCTAGTCAGCCTTGTGAACACTTGTCATTCCTGGCAGCCATGTCATGCCATCATGGGCATTGACAAACCAGTGTGATGTATAGTCTGTATGATCTTCAACTAAGTAGTTAGTTGTTTAGGGCCTGATCCAAAGGGGAGTAGGCCCCTCTGTCTACAAGTCATGCAAGCCAAATGAAACAAAAACAAAAAACTAAAACCCTTTCCAGCTGATGGCTAATAAAGTACCTCGTACATTTTCTTTTTGGGTAGACTGCTTATTAGCAATGACTGTTGCCCATGTCATTGGCCATCCTTGGCATTCACTTGAATAGGTGTGTCTACAAGCTGCAAAATGGCAGGCCTCTGATAGTCTGATGCAACTAGCCAAATGTGTATTTGTTTCCAACCAATAACAATCATAGAGTGTGCCAAGAGAATTTGATCCCATGTGAATACAAGGATCTTGGTTATTTTACCTAGATCGTGAACCTGGGTATGTAAGGCTGCTAAATTGCATCTGGATTATGAACCAAAGGGCTATTTTCTTTTAATTGATTTGTGCGAGCCTTTTAGATTTAGGGGTAGTGAATCAAAACATCAAATTTCAGCCTTTCAGATGCTAGCCTTCTGCATGAATATTTGTAGAAGTGATCATTCTTTCTCTCTTGTCAGGCAGAAATCCAGAATGTAATTGATCCAGTTACTATATTTGGGAAGCCATCATCTTCATCTGCATCCATTTCTTGGAATCCTCAAAGAGGTGAAAGTCATCAATTAAGTTTTGTTCTGGGTTTTAATTCAGATCTACCGCAGTTCAACTCGTCCAAGGTATATAAAGCCCCATGCTATCTATCTTAAAGGAAATGGATTAGATTGGATGATTTCGATATGGCAATACCTAGTTCTGAAACTTACCATTTAGAACATCTGGTAGATTGTTTCTAACAAATTGTATATGTTCCCTTTTCACTTTATCATGTTTGTGTGTGGAAATGCAAGTCAACAACCTATGTTTCTTTGTTTATTTGTGCCAGTGTCTATGTATGCCAAATCTGAAGTGGATGTGTTTAGGTTGCAAAAGTAATCTTAGGGCTTCTGGCTGCCTGTAACAGGATGTATCCACAATCCAATTATAGATGACGCTATCATTTAAGGTCCAAATGCCAGCTCAGTTGGATTTGGAACACGATTCAGTTAATCTGAAGTTTCATATTAGTGTTTGCAATAAGTAAGGTCAGAAAAAAGGGTGGTTTACTCCAGTCATCCCACTCTGGTGCAATTAGATGTCTTTATATCCAGCACAGAATTTCTTTGACGCTCACTTCTAAAAGTAGTCACTTTGGTATTAAGATTTTAGGTCCATGTCCAGAATTTGTGTTTTTTTTTTTGCATTTTATATTTCCAATCTTATCTTCCTAAGGTTGCAAATGGGAAAAAGGGCATTATGTTTTTTTTTCTAAGGGGAAGGGTTTATCTGAAAAAACAAAAAACAAAAATAATGCATGTGTGCGGCTAGCAAGTTCAGAGAATTGTCAAAAGTGAAACAAGTGGTAGAATTATCTTGTTCTCACTAATGGATACTACACAGGTTTGGGAATTTGACGAGGCTCATCAACGGTGGCTGCCAGTTGCAGAGTTAGCTTTGCCTGAAGACAAGGGCGATCAGGTCTATGTGGTTGCATGGGCGCCCAATATTGGAAGGTTGGCATATATTCTACTGAATTTGCAAACATATGCACATGCTCCATTGTCAGCTTCCTCTTCAAATTGTCTGCCATGTAAAACATCTTGATAAATGAAAGTTTTACATATGTTGGTGATATCTGATCTCAGACGTGTTAGATCTCAAGTGAATTTGACGTGAATCATTTGTCCTGATGTCACACCCATGGAGGCATTTTGCATTAGGTCTATAATAGAAAAATAATATTTGATGATAGTAAATTTTTGACCAACTTCCAGGCCATATGAAATGGTTGCTGTTGCAACAAGCAAGGGGATTGTGCTATGGCATCTAGGGCTGAACCCTGACGCAGATGGAAGGCTTCCTGTGGAGAAGGTTGCATTGCTCTCTGGTCATGAAGGCGAGGTATGCCATATGCATGCTTAAAATTGCTCCATAAAAGATAAACTTTGAAAGTTAAAGATGCCACATGGAAATTGGAATTTGTAGCCCCCTGTATCATCATTATTAGTTTATCTTTACAACAGCTTAGTTGGAAGATAATTGATTGCTTTGCTGGTAATGATGTATTGTTTTGGTTTTAGGTGTGGCAAATGGAATGGGACATGAGTGGAATGACACTGGCAACAACCGGAAGCGATGGGGTAGTGAGATTGTGGCAGTCCAACCTGAACGGTGTATGGCACGAAGAAGCTGCCTTTAGGGCCCCCTCTTAGTACTTCTTCCCCATTCAGTCTGTTGCAGTGACCATCCCTATTCGACTAAAATGTAATGACTCAAGTTAATCCCAAAGGTATGTTAAATGAGAGTTTTCCCTCTCAATCTTTCTTTCCTCACTTATTTGTAGGTAAGTCCCAAGGCATTCTTTTGAAGTTCCTGAAAATTACCCCACAGATTTGCCCTAATTAGATGGTTAAGAGTTAAGACTCGTTGGTTAAGTTGATTTACGTTTTTGTTTTTAAATTTCTTCATTGTTTAAGACTTTTAGTGGGTATCCATTTGGTGGTGGATCCCAATTTTGGAAACATGGGGATAAGTCGCAAGTCATGGGTTGGGGCCTTTGACCCACCTGTTCTGTGTCTCCAAGCCGTAGATTTGTCTTTCCTGATGAGATGATGATTTGTAAATGAAGAGTTGAGGAGTTCCACACAATTTGCGAGGCAGTGTTTGCCTGTTTGGTAATAATCCCAAAAGTGAAACGCAAATCTGTTAAAATAGAAGGATACAAATCGGTTCCGTTTTGCACTGAGAAGTGAGAAGTTACAGTGTCTTGGCTTCTTGCTTGGTTGTGATAGGTGAAAACATGAATCTCAAGGCTTAACCTATTCCTTGAAAGCAAAGTTTGCTTTCATTTTGAATGCAAAAATGGAAAATCCCAAGTTACCAAACTCCTGCAAGAACTGAACTAGAGTGCAAAATTGCTTTGATTCTGCATATTCAGTCTTAATATCTCATCAAACACAGCCAAACGAACAGGACAGCCTCAAAGATGTTTGTTTTGGTAGAGATGCATAAGTTCGAGTATGATGTCAGAAAGGCATGGTACCGAAAAAACTTGTGACCAATCCACTTGCATCGTAAAAGTGGCGACAACAAATCAGGTAGGTTTTCATCAAAATTCAGGGGGATGGCGTTATGATTGGTCAAAGTCTTATCATGTTTTTCGGCATCATAGAATTTTCACAAGTMCCCCCCCCCCCGCCCCTTCTTCCTCGAGATTCATAGGGTTTTGGAGTATAAATAAACTACCATGGGAAGAGAATTTCAGCATCATCGGATGACTGTTATATCTAAATCTAATCTCCATGGCGAGAGATATGCCCGTTTGTTTAATGATGGTAGGGGCGTCTATGAAAAACTAAAAAACTGAACTGAATCGAGAAAACTAAACTGGAAAAACTGAAAGATCGGTTCGGTTTTTGGTTAATCTAAAAAAATCAGCGGTTAACTGAACCGCAATATTTCTTCTCTTATGTGCAAACCCAATTTTCGTTGATGGGTGCATTGTGTTTGTAGTGACAATGGACGTGAATATTTTGCTCAACCCATGCAGAACATTTTTCAAGAAGATGGTGTTTTCCACTACCACTACCATAGTTGCATTGTCACCTTCTCAATGATGCCCGTGCACTGCGTTTTCAGGCCAACTTGCCCCTTGCTTTTTGTGAAGATTGTGTTCTCACCGCTGCCTACCAAGTGTTTGGATGCCTCTGTTTTGCTTCCAACGGGCACTTAACACATGATAAATTTTCCCCCAAGGCACGTCGTTGTCTTTTTATTGGCTACCCCTTTGGTCAAAAGGCCTACAAAACTCTATGATTTGGAGACACACACCGTCTTCGCAAGCATTGATGTCATTTTCCATGAAGACACCTCCCTTTTCGTCCTCCACACCCAACCCTTACAACACGTACTTTGTCATACCTCATCCCATCTTTGATCCCGACCCGTCCACACCCCTCTCTTTTCCCCAGGCTGAACCCATCGATACTCATCCACCAATCCAAACCCCCATGTCACCGGATAGGGCACCCGTAGCTTCGTCTTCCTTAGTCCACACTTCACCACCTCGGCAGTCCACATGCATAAGGTGTCCACCTTCATTTCTTGAATTCTTGATGAATACTGTTGCAGCGTTCAACACCGAAGCCCTTCACTGTTGACATCACCAGGTACCCCTTACTCCATTACTGATTTCTTGTGTTATAATAAAGTTTCTACCCAACACAAGGCCCTTCTTAGTTTCCCTTTCCACCCATAATGAGCCCACTGCCTTTTTTGCCGCTATTAAAGACCCCAAACTAGCCCTCTCTTCATGCTTATAGTGACAGTGATTGGGGTGGTTCCACCACTAGAAGATCCATCACCGGCTATTTTGTGTTCCTTGGACATAGTCCCATCCCTTGGAAGTCAAAGAAATAGCCCACTCTTTCACGTTCCTTTTCTGAGAGCGAGTACCACACCATGGCTAGTACAGTGTGTGAAGTTCAATGGTTATCTTATCTCCTTTTTGACCTTGGTGTTGCCCCCATTCCAGCCTCCTTATCTTACGACAACAAGGCTGCTCTTTCCATCACCAACAACCCTGCACATCACGAATGAATAAAGCATATCGAAATTGATTGCCATCTTATTCGTGAGAAGATTAGCTATGATATCATTTGGCCCATTTATGTCCCATCTGATGCACAAGTAGCAGATAGTTTCACTTAGGCTCTTGGATACCTTTGTCACCGCTTCACCTGCAAGTTGGTTCATACCATATACTCTTTAACTTGAGGGGGTGTATTAACGTATGGAACTATGTAACTTAGCGACAGAACTTAGGGGGCGGTCTTTTTTCAGATTTTGAAAGGGGGGAAAGTTGGTCAATTCCCTTTGACCAAGAATCCCATGTTTTTTTTTCAGATTTATGTGGGCACCAAGGAAAGTTTGTTTTCCTGTGCATCACTTACCTCCTAGGTGGGTAAATAACTTTCCCACTTAGGGGGAAAGTTACCAACACTTGAATGTGACAAAAAATGTTCTTTTTAATAATGGATTTTTATGGCTAAAATGGTGATTGCCTTATTTACATGAGAACTAAAAGAACATGGGTAAATGCATTTACTTGGTTAAGTAACTTACCGAAAAGCGGTCGGGGCCTTAGTGAATGTGTTCAACAACTCTAATTCTTTCTAATCTTATCCAATGTTATCGACACCTTTCCCTCTCCTAATTGTAATCTAAATCCTATATCTATTTATACCCTCTGTAGCTACACTAATAATATATACATATATGAGTTTCTCCTCCATCTCGTTGTAGTTTTGTCATATATATGTGTATATATATAAGTGTGAATGAGATATTGGCTTCTGGAATTTTTCTTTACTGAAATACCCCTCCTCTTGAATTTAGTTTATCTCCATTCAAAGGGTAGAAAATGTAATTAAAAGAATACCATTAAGTACATTCAATTACCTCTCATTAAGTCTCACATTTAAGTCATTAAATAAATCACATTTTCTCTCATTGAATCCAACATTTATACTTTTATTTATCATCGTTAAATTTCACTAATAAATCCATACACAATAATTATTAATAGAATGAAATTTTATATTTTTAAAATAAACATAGAAATGAAATTATATTTTTCATCTAGGTGGTGGGTAAGTAGTTCAACGTTTGGGTCAAATGGATAATTTCATGATGTCATAAATAAATAATACAAATTTAGAAATATAAAAATTACTTTTGTTTATCATCATTAAATTCCACTAATAAATCCATACACAATAATTATTAATAGAATAAAATTTTATACTTTTAAAATAAACCTAGAAATGAAATCATATTTTTCATCTAGGTCGTGGCTAAGTACTTCAACCATTTGGGTCAATTGGATAATTTCATGATGTTGTAAATAAATAATACAAATTTAGAAATATAAGAAATACAAAAAATATAGAACAAAAAAGAAATTTTGAAAAAAAATGAACACATTTCTATTATTATATATTTGTCATAATAAAAAAATAACTATGATAAAATAGACATAATTTTATTAATAATGGACATCAAATATATGATTTAAAATTGATGGGAAATTAAACCATTTTCCTATCTAGGGGGTGGGTTAGTGGTTCAACCTTTCAGGTCAAATAGGTTAACCCATGTATAATTAAAAATATATATTTTTTAAATAGAATAGTATAAAAAATATGAAACAATTTTGGACACATTTATAATATTATATACTAATAATATAAACAAAAATAAGTATGATAAATAATAATTATTTTATCAATGATAAACGAAATGCAAAATTTCAAACCAGTTTGAAAATGAAACAATTTCCATATCTAGATGGTAGGTAGGTCAATGATCTAGCATTCTAGGTCAAATGGGTCAATCTACGATGTCATAACTAAGTAACGAATATTAAATACATACATACATATATATATAAACTCAAAGAAAAACATAAGTTTCATATAAAGCATTTTGATACAATTCTATTGTTATATGTTCATATTAAACAAAAATAAATGTGAATGTAAGAATTACTTTTATCGATGATGAAAATAGAATACCTCATTTAAAATCAACCGAAAAGCAAAATGGTTTTTTCATCCAAGTGATGGGTTAGTGGTTAAACTATCCATGTCAAATGGATGTTATTATTAAATAATAAAATACATAAAATTCTATAAAATGTAAAAATTTATCAATAATTTTGGGTACATTCTATAATATTATATATTCATCATACAGAAAAGTGTGATAAATGAGAATTATTTTCATTAATGGTAGAAATGGAATACCATTATGATAAAAAATAAGGAGCATTAATGTCTAAAACATGACTCAACTAACTATGTCAAATGGATCAATAATTTAATTGGTTAGGTCATTGTAGGCAAGTGATTTGGTAGAGATGCAAACAAATTAGATCAGATTTGAATTAGGGTAATATTCAAATCTGATCTAATCCAGAGATTCGATCGGATCTCATAAATATTGATTTGAATCCAAATCCAATCAATATGTCAGATATTCGAATATGATACAGTCCTATTTAATTTTTTTAAAAAAGTAATAAATTATTAAAAGAAAAAATATAATAGTTAAAATAAAAAAACAAAAAATATAAATATTTTTTCAACTATTTCCATCATATAAAAAGTTTACAAAAATGCAATATAAGTAACATATTTATAAATAAATAATAAATAACATATATATTATATATAAATAATATATATACTATGATATAAATAATTGATTTGACCACAATATTAAACCAATTTTCAAACAATATATTGGAATTGTATTTCCTCTTGGTAAATAAGTAATTTTTATTATCTTATAAATTAAATAATAAAAATAAAAATATAGATTTTTTTATAAATTTTATAAAAAATTGAACATACATTAATATTATATATTCTTATACTAAACAAAAATATGTTTGAAAAATAAGAATTATTGTTAGTAAAGTTAGAAATGGCTAAAATACAAAGAAAAAATGAATTAATGTCTTAATCACAATCCATTTTCCTGGTTAAATAGGTTAATGGTTCAACCAGTAAGGTCATTTGGTTGCTGACTATATATATATAAAGAAGGAAGTTTATGGATTTTCTCTCTGTTTTTGAATTTTTTAT